GGCATGGCCATGAATGTGGTGGGCGCCTGGCATCTGGGATGGGGCAGCTGGGACTGGGGGGCACCCCGGGGTGGGAGGGAGAGGTGAGGCAGCTCGGTGTCCCCCAGCTCTGCTCCTGAGGCTGCCTCTTACCACAAGGTGATGGATGAGCAGCAAGGCCTGCTGCTTAACAGGGACAGTGGCAGCATGCACCTGGCTTAATAGAAATGCTCCTGCCTGGAGTGGTTAAGTGATAATTAACCAGGTGCTGGGGAAGGTGATGCTGGAAGCCAGCCCCGTGCTGCTGCTGTGGGGTAGAGGGCTGAACACCCACCTCTGTGCACTCCAGATGTCTGGGTGCCTTGGTTGGGGCCACATGCACCCAGAAATGGGCTGCTCTGCACCCTTGGGGCCAAGTGGGGGGGCTGAGACCCTGGGTGAGCCAGGAATGGGAATCCTGGGCAGCTTAGGTTGCTTTTAGGTGCAAGGAGCCATGAAACCATCCACCCACCTGCCCATCACCTTCACCACGAGCAGCCATCCTTGTCTGCAAGGGTGAATACTGCTTTACAGGTGGGGAAACTGAGGCACCAGGCGAGCAAGACCAGCAAGTTTCTGCAGCATGAGGTATTGATAAAGCACTGCGGTGACCTGGTAGGGTCATGTGCAGGCAGGGAGGCCTGAGCACTGTCGCCCAAGGGGAGAGGTGGCTCAGGAGGTGGCAGGGAGATGCACCCGCTGCAGTGGAGGAGGAGAAATGCTGCTGGAGAAACCAAGCAGTGCTGTGGAGGGAGAGGCCCCCGCGGGAGCCACACAGGAAGGGTTGTGCAGGCTGGGACCCTCCCGCTCGGCTCGGCATGGGAGAGATGGGCCTGGGCTGGAAAAGCAAGGCTGGAAGAGCAGGTGAGAAGTGTGGGAGGGCTTTGATGAAGACTGAGGGAAGAAACACTGCTGAGCTCCAAGTGGGCAAAAGGCTGCCGAGAGAGGAGGGAACGATCCTGCCTCCAGGCCCTCGGGGTAGGGGAAGGAGACCGTGGGTGTAAAGTGTAGCAAGGGAAATTTGGGATAGATCCTGGGAGAAATGCTCCGGGGAGGAGGGAGGCACAGGAAGATGTGGAGGCTGGCTCAACCCTGGGGTCTGTAGGCTCGGGGAGGTTTGGGGGCAGGTCTGTCTGAGGGTGGGTCCACCTGGACCAGCTGAACCAGTAGATGTGGGATTTGGCCAGCAGATCCCTGTCTGCGTGGTGGGGGGCTGGGGAACACAACACCTCAGCCCCCAGCTAGCTGGGCTGTGCCTCCAGGGACGGCTGGGGCATTAGCAGCCACCGTGACCGCTTGGGGGTTGCGTGAAACACAGCGCTTGTCAAGTCCCTCCTGTATGCTGTATTATATTTATTATATCATATTTATTAGATTATATTACACTTTATTATATTATTAGAGCTGTCAGGCCAAGCACTTCAAGGCTGGAACTATCAGCTTCATAGTTGCTTGGGTAACCTTAGCCCGTCCCCCTGGACAATGAATGGGACTGCAGGAAAAGCATCACCTGTGACTGTGGCGTTAAAGACGCTGTTACAGGCACAGCTGGTGGCAGCGAGGGTGACAAAGTCCCCGGAGCGGTCCGGGGTGCTCGGCGTCAGCGTCCCCGGGGCCAGCGAGGCT